CGATGACATTTCAATGTACCTGTTGTACATACTCTTACATTGAGAAATGTGCTTGCCTTCTAATTATTTGATGTCACATCAACAAGAGCTGTACCTACTTTGTGGCAAGAAGAGGCGTCAATGCTGTTAAATGTGAACACTGCAGCAAACCACTCTAAAACTGAAGTGCAGAAGTTAAAGGACATACTGGACAGTGTGCAGAAATGGCAGACAATTCCTCAGCACATTAGCCAGCAAATTAAAAACCTGCATGACAGTGTAACAAATGCCAGTATGAGTAGAACAGCAGCAGCATTTCCAGCAGTAACTACAGACTTGACCAGAAAGATAAGACCATTGTTTCCACACAGAGCAAAAAACATGAAACGAAAGTATGGACAGAAATTCAAAAGACGACAAACTAAATTGTAAAATGTAGATTAATTAATGTAGATATGAAAAAAAAAACTAAGGCACCAAGTGTTACGAAGCTGGAGACGAGATGAGATCCAAGTGCAGCTTTATTTAGAGTCATCAAACAGGCAGGGGTCAGGAAACAGCAAAACAGGGATATCAGAGAGTGAGCGCAGAGAGTCGTCAGGTAACAGGCAGAAGATCAGGGCAGGCAGCAAACAGGCAGAAGTCAGGAAACAAACCAGGATCAAAACCAGAGAAACCAGAAACAGGATAAACGCTCAGAAATTACAGGCCGTGGCAATGTAATACTTCGCACTGGGTGAGTGTAAGAGTGTGGCTTAAATAGAGAGTCTGATGAGGTGCAGGTGTGTGTGTAATCAGTCACCGGGATGAGGCATTATGGGAAATGGAGTTCTGGAGAAGTGATCAGTTCTGATGTGGAGTGCCCTCTGGTGATTCTCTGGGGCACTCCAACTGGTAATCGTGACATAGCCCCACCCCAAAGAGCGGCTTCCAGACGCTCAAAACAAACAAAACTGTCCAGGTGGGCGGTGGAGCGAAGGCGGATCTGGGGGTGGGATGGAGGGCCAGGTCCGTGGAGCAGAAGAGGAGCAGGTGACCAGAGCGGAGCAGGCTGTGCAGGCGAAGGCCAGGGCGGAGCTGTGGGACCCTCGGGTGTCCACGGCGGTGAAGACCCCTCGGGCGTCCACGGCGGTGAGGACCCCTCGGGCGGCCACGGCGGTGAGGACCCCTCGGGCGGCCACGGCGGTGAGGACCCCTCGGGCGGCCACGGCGGTGATGCCCTCTCAGGACCAGACACCGGCTCGGGACCAGACACCAGCTCAGGAACAGACACCGGCTCAGGAACAGACACTTGAACAGAAATGGTCACAAACACAGAAACAAAGACAGAAACAAACACTGGCTCAGGAACAGACACTGGGTCGGCCATCTTGTCCGGAGACACTGGGTCGGCCATCTTGTCCGGAGACACTGGGTCGGCCATCTTGTCCGGAGACACTGGGTCGGCCATCTTGTCCGGAGACACTGGGTCGGCCATCTTGTCCGGAGACACTGGGTCGGCCATCTTGTCCGGAGACACTGGCTTGGAGGCGGCCATCTTGTACGGAGACACTGGCTTGGAGGCGGCCATCTTGTCCGGAGACACTGGCTTGGAGGCGGCCATCTTGTCCGGAGACACTGGCTTGGAGGCGGCCATCTTGTCCGGAGACACTGGCTTGGAGGTGGCCATCTTGTCCGGAGACACTGGCTTGGAGGTGGCCATCTTGTCCGGAGACACTGGCTTGGAGGCGGCCATCTTGTCCGGAGACACTGGCTTGGAGGTGGCCATCTTGTCCGGAGACACTGGCATGGAGGCAGCCATCTTGTCCGTAGACACTGGCTTGGAGGTGGCCATCTTGTCCGTAGACACTGGCTCGGAGGCGGCCATCTTGTGCGTAGACACTGGCTCGGAGGCGGCCATCTTGTGCGTAGACACTGGCTCGGAGGCGGCCATCTTGTCCGTAGACACTGGTTTGGAGACGTGAAGCGTCTCTGGCTCGGCAGAAGTGACGTGAACAGGCTCAGACTCGGCAGGGCTGACATGGAACTCAGGCTGGGCTGTCTCGGCAGGACGAGACTCTGGCTGGGCTGTCTCGGCGGGACGTGACTCTGGCTGGGCTGTCTCGGCGGGACGAGACTCTGGCTGGGCTGTCTCGGCGGGACGTGACTCTGGCTGGGCTGTCTCGGCGGGACGAGACTCTGGCTGGGCGGAAGTGACGTGAAGCGTCTCTGGCTCGGCAGAAGTGACGTGAAGCGTCTCTGGCTCGGCAGAAGTGACTTGAAGCGTCTCTGGCTCGGCAGAAGTGAAGTGACGCGTCTCTGGCTCGGCAGAAGTGACGTGAAGCGTCTCTGGCTCGGCAGAAGTGACGTGAAGCGTCTCTGGCTCGGCAGAAGTGACGTGAAGCGTCTCTGGCTCGGCAGAAGTGACTTGAAGCGTCTCTGGCTCGGCAGAAGTGAAGTGACGCGTCTCTGGCTCGGCAGAAGTGACGTGAAGCGTCTCTGGCTCGGCAGAAGTGACGTGAAGCGTCTCTGGCTCGGCAGAAGTGACGTGAAGCGTCTCTGGCTCGGCAGAAGTGACGTGAAGCGTCTCTGGCTGCATGGTCTCAGGCTGGACGGTCTCTGGGAACGCCCCTTCGGCCTTATCCTCAAAGCCCACAGTAAATGATGAGCCGCTAATTCTCAGGGCGAATCCAATATACTGACATAAAGTCCATTGAGGGGTATTATCAGGCATGAGATAATTTATTATGTCCTTAAGTCCATATCGGAAAGCATCTTTTAAGACTGAATCATCCAAGTCCACCCCATGGCATAACTCACAAAATTCCTCAACATATTCCTCTATAGAACAATTACCTTGGCTGAGGCGGAAGAGACTAATAAGTGGGTCCATGGTGGATCTCGGTTCTCTCTCGGCTGCTGGATCTGAAGAGGCGAAGTATTCTGTTACGAAGCTGGAGACGAGATGAGATCCAAGTGCAGCTTTATTTAGAGTCATCAAACAGGCAGGGGTCAGGAAACAGCAAAACAGGGATATCAGAGAGTGAGCGCAGAGAGTCGTCAGGTAACAGGCAGAAGATCAGGGCAGGCAGCAAACAGGCAGAAGTCAGGAAACAAACCAGGATCAAAACCAGAGAAACCAGAAACAGGATAAACGCTCAGAAATTACAGGCCGTGGCAATGTAATACTTCGCACTGGGTGAGTGTAAGAGTGTGGCTTAAATAGAGAGTCTGATGAGGTGCAGGTGTGTGTGTAATCAGTCACCGGGATGAGGCATTATGGGAAATGGAGTTCTGGAGAAGTGATCAGTTCTGATGTGGAGTGCCCTCTGGTGATTCTCTGGGGCACTCCAACTGGTAATCGTGACACCAAGACAATGTAAAATATACATTTAAAATTAACTTGCTACATGTAAGTGTGCATATGAGAAATGAAGTGAAGAAGGCTGCTTATTTTTGTTTTTTTATTTTACTATATACATTTTTAAATGCATTGTTTTACATCTGAAATCTGAAAAAAAAAATAATGCCATCTTTTGTAAATAAATCAAAATAAACATTGAACGTTTTACATCACTCAGCTGTCTGAATGTGTTCTGTAACAGTGATGTATATTTAAACCAATTAAATGTTACATTATTTGCTTAACTAAATGTTTGTTATAATTTAACAATCATTTGTTATTGTGTTCAATGGCTCAGTGAACCTTTACTTAAACTGACTGATTAAAAATGAAATGACAACATCTACCACTTGAGGTCCAAGCGTATGGGTTAGCAGACTAAAAGGTGATTTCTCTCCTAGTTTTTCCCTTAGCAAGCGCTGGAGGGTGCAGAGTGTATTCCTGTAAATATAAATGAACAGATTTTTAAGTAAGAAGCAAGTTTAAAAAAATCTAAATGTGGAAAGCAACTTACTTTGCAACATCTGCCTCAGCACTAGGAACACTTGCAGTCATGTCTAGGTTTATATGTCGCCCAAGCATGGCTCCCAGCTCCTGGGCCAAATCTGTGGCCTCCCCTTCACTGAGAGCAGAGAAGATGCTTATCTTTGTCTTTGCTTTGATCGGTCGCTGTTCTCTGAGCTCCTCAGTGAGATCCTCTTTACGAACCTTTAGGTAAAACCAATGTTACTGTTTTCTAAATGTTTTGCTCTAAATTAAAAGTATAGCAAATAGCTATAAGGTTTATGTTGGGCATATACAAACCCTAATCAGGCTTCTTAACAGATTGTTAGACATGTTTTCTGCCATGATTCTTCTCTTCAGTTCATCTTGGGTTACAATGTATTTCCTTTTGGTGCCTGGCACTGACAGCCTACCCAGAACTGTATAGTTTCCTCCCTGAGTTGTTTTGCCTTCTTTTTTCCCTCAGGTATCTTTTCCTCCTCTATGACTTCTATTTTTCTTTTCTTGGCTAAGTTTTTCTCTTGCCCACTCTCAGCAACCGTTTGCTCCTCTTCACTTTCTCTTTGTTCTGCTTTGTTTTCCTCTGCTGCCCTTTCATGTGCTGCGTAAATAAAACTCAGTCAATCAACAGTATTACAAGATTATTGTAGCACAGGTTAACTACATATTATCTGAAATATAAAAACAACAGAAAGTTATGCTAGTGCACCCTATGCTGTATTTAAAATATCTTCCTAAAATTTGAGAAAATAGTGGCACATGATTAGAGATATTTTAACTGATTAGATTTCATCAGGCTATATTCATTAGAAAATAGACAAATACACCTTCTAAGCTACTTCGCATTTTGTCCCTGATCTGTGCACGCTTAGAAAATGCATCAGCCAGTGTAAACCAGGATGTACAGTCAAGCTCATCGATTAGTTCTTTGGGAGGATCCTAGAGGAAGGAATTGAAACATAAATGATTTGTTTTATTTTAGTGACATGCACAGTGGCATGATAGAAAGAAAAAAAAGTGCTAACCAACGTCTATGAAACCATTTTACTTAGCCTACCTTCAGAAAGTTCTCTGCATAGAGTAACACAAATATGCCGCATTCAGAGGTGTTTCCTTGCTGTTTGGGTACCCGCACTTTCAGGGCTGGCATAGAATCTGCAGAAAATGTACGGGGCTTTTTTCTTGTGTGGTTCCACATTTCTGTTAAGTAACTGAAATACAAAAACAACCTTATTAAATGTTTATCTCTATGACATTTTATTGAACTTTTTGTTAAAGCATGTCTTTGCAACTTTATGCCTGTTTATATCTTAAAGAGATATAGTCCCACGAAAATTCTATAATCTATCATTTAATCACCCTCATGTACTTCAAATGACTTTCTTCTGCCGAGCAGAACACAAGAAGATTGTCATCTTTGAAGATTCTTCTTCTCAGTTAGTTTACAGTCAATGACAATTTTAATTATAAAACAGAATTATTTCAAGCTATATAAATAAAGAATGAACTGTCCTGAAATTGTATCTATCTCTGTGACAGCCTTATACTGTAATGAAAGTGTCTGTGGACCACAGTCTACGGTACTCTATCACACATACAGTACTTATAATTGTCACTCTATGATAATGACTGATCGCAGGTAACCATTTCAAAGTCATCCTTTGTGTTCTATAGAAGAAAGTAATACATGTTTAAAACAAATTGAAATTTTGTGTTGTATTTACATACAACAGATATACACATACAACAGAACCAACCTTCGAATGTTTTGGAACACATCCATGGTGTCACTCACTTGCTCAGACTGGGAGTCTAGCATTAAAATGCAAGGCCTAAATGTACAACACAACAAATTTAACACAGAGAAATCTAATAATATAAATGTTTGGTAATGGACTAAAAGTAGCAGTGTTATTTCATTGTAGGGGCAAAAGAGCAAAATATAATTACTCAAATGCTAAATACATATTTACCTCCTTTTTTGTACCAATTTTCGTCCCTTTTTGATGTGTTCTACTTCTTCATTTCCAGGGAAGCACACAATCATGAGTCTCCAGTGATTTCTGAAAAACATTAATAGACAAGACAATATAACTAAAATAAGTTTTGATAATTGCATATGTGCCATTCACAGTGCTACTATCACAGGCCACAATCACTTGGTGTCACATGTCACTAATTTGTAACATGAAAAGTTCATTAGACTGATTATTGCATTTTAACCCCAATATGTTGTTACTGAGAATCAACAGACTGTTGGAAGGTGTGACTGGCGAGTCATATTTGAGCTTTACACAGAGCTGTGTAATAATAAGTCATAACAATCAGTAAATAAATAAAGTTCTCACCTAAGAACATTCTCAACAATCAAAAGATAGTCCTTTCGAAAAATGTCCTCATGTTTTGTCCAGTTGATGACACCAGAAAATCCACTAAAATTGCATAGATGACATGATAAATCATGTGGTTACAATAATTCTTCAATAATAGGATTCAATATATAACTATGACACAAAAGGCTTCTTCAAAAGCCATGCGAGGATAGACACTGTAGCATGAACATCTACAAATATATAAAGAGAAACCTAAAATTCATTTAATGATCCCTTAGCTATCTTAACATATTGGTTACTCCTACCTGGTTTTTAATTTAGTGTAAAAATACACTGGGTAGATCAAAGATTTCCGCCTTATATGCCGTCTTAATTCTTCATGAACAGACTTAGAAAGATTTAGTTGAAAATTATTGCTAAGAATCTAATGATTTGCAGTTTTATCTTTTATCATAAGAATCACCTCAATGCAATGTCCATAACAATGTCATTCAGCCACATTCCATCATCTAGTGTTGCAAGTGACTCTTTCGTCAATAAGGGCACACGGAAGGACCTCAAAGGAAAAAACAAACAAACAAAAAACAATTTTGTACAAATGTTATAAGTCAAATTTCTGGTTTATATACAGACAGACAATTTTTTTTTTTTTTTTTTTTAAATTCTTTATTTATATTCAGCAAGAAATAATTACAGAATAAAAGTGATGATGAAGAACTTTACATTTGCTGTTGTTTTTTTAGAACAGTACATATATATATACTTTGAACAAATAGGGAGAGATAAAGTTGTGCATTACAAAGTATACAAATTATATATTTAACCACTTTGTGGGAGCCATGATAGAGGAGGATAGATAAGAAGACAGGACAATAAAGCATCGGATCATTAAATCAACACCTCTACGAAGTCTGGTCTTAAGGGCTTTACAAATTTAACCCATTTAGCCCACCAACTAACAAATATACTTTTCTTAAGACGAATGGAAAAGGTAATTGATTCCATTACATATATCTTGTTAACAATGTCTATCCATTCTGAGACTGTGGGAGGTCCGGGAAGCAGCCAACGCCTTGTAAATGCTTTTTTGCAGGCAGATATAAGAACAGCATATAAATACTTATCAGCAGTTCTGAGCAAGAACTCACAATTCCCCAAAAACAGAGAGGAAAACTGAAATGGTACTTTATTGTTGAATATAGTAGTTAAGATCTTGTGAAACTCTGCCCAAAACGGTTTGATTTTTTGGCAATCCCAAAAAACATGCCAGTGATCAGCCTCCCGAGCGCCGCACAGCCTCCAGCATTTAGCACCACCTGGATCAAAATGTGCTTTTTGCTTTGGTGTTATAAAAAAACGAATAAGACATTTCCAGTTAAACTCACGCCATATATGTGAGTTTGTACATTTCCATTGAAGCTCGCATATTTTTAACCACTCATCTGTAGATATTGATACATTGCTTTCCTTTTCCCATCTTTCTTTTATGTAGTCTGTGGAATGGGTATTTTTAACCAAGAGACCTTTATAAAACTTAGAAATAACCCCTTTAACAGTAGCATTTTTATATGCACTCAATATTGTTTTTAATATAGGGTCATTAAGGTCTGTTTTAGGTTTAATATTATATTCAAAGTGATTGCGTACTTGCAGGTATCGGAAAAAATCTGAATTTTCAAGATGGTACTCCTTTTTCAAATCCTCAAAATCCCTTAATTTTCCATTTTCTGTGAGTGAATAAAAAGTTGTTATACCTTTGAGAATCCATGATTTAAAACGGTTATCCATCAAATTTGGCCTGAACCCAGGGTCAAAAGCACACCATTGAATTATCTGTATTTTATCATTTAACTGATACTCTCCTTTTACTTTGTTCCAAATTTTTAATTGGGTTTTGATCCACGGATTTTGCGTATCCTTTATAAGCCTATCTAGGTTCGTACAAGCCAATAAAGCGTGAATCGGGGGGTCCATCATGATTGAAAGTTCAATATCTTTCCACCTGGCATGAAAATTTGGGTAACATAGGTTAATGAAGGGTTTAATTTGGGCCGCGTAGTAATATCCTTTAAAATAAGGTAACCCCATTCCCCCCTCCTCCTTCAAGAGCTGCAAAGTTTTAAATTTAACCCTAGTTCCCTTTCGTAGTCACTTCGAGTTACGTCAGAAGTGACGGAGATTGGGGGATTTCGCATAGAAAGCCAATCCTCTTCGAGTATTTAAACACGAGCCAATGGCATGCAATGCCTTGGGGCTGCGGAAATTTGCATAGCGTACTCCGCCCTACTCCGTGAGTATAAAGGAGGAAGTGAACGCAACCGCAGTATGTTTTCGCTTCGGAGCCAAGAGAACCTCTTCACTCCTCAAAGCTGATTCAAGACTCTTCGAGACGAGCGTCCTCTTCAGTGTTGGTGTGACGGCGGTACCCAGCGAGTTTCTGCATTGCCTGCGATCTGTGCAGTGGTCTGCCAGACTTTGCGCTTCTCCCTGGTCGCCTCAGCGCTGAAAGAGTGAATTTCCTCCTCTCTGTAAAAGAGCTACACGCGGCACGTCTTTTTAAAGGCACGTCTTTTTCTTCTGGATGCGGTCGATTTCTGTCGTCATCTGATGGTCGCGATCGCTGCTCTGTATGCCTGGGCATTCTGCATGCAGCAGCAGCGTTCGTGGATGACTCATGTTCCTGCTATGGGGACATGACCATCTCCACACTGAGGTTAAAAAAAAATAATAATAATAATATATTTTATATATAAAATATATATTTTTATATGTAAAAAAAAAAAAAAAAATCTCACTAGAGTGAGAGCCCCGGTCCCCCTTACTCGATCGGCTTCCTTCACGAAAGGGGGCCCGTCGACCGGGGACCCGGCGAATTAACGGTGACGGTGTGGCATAAAGCCCCGACGATTTCTCGGGCCACACCTCCCGCCTCAGTGCGTGAGCCAGCGAGCGTTAGTTCGATTCAGTCGGCTGCCTCTTCAGTGGTACCGGCTGCTTCGAGCAGCGCTCCAGATGATGATGTGATGTCGATCGCAGCATCACTAGGCGGGCTACAGTCCTCGGGAGATGAGGATGCGGCTGCACTGCCCCCTTCGGGAGAGCCAGCGCTGCCCGTGTCGGATCCCGAGCTGACGGCATGCTGTCTCAAGCCGCTGGGAGTATTGGGTTAGAGTGGCATCCTCCATTCTCCCCCGATCTCTCACGGAGGGATAATTGGTTTTTGGACAAAGCTGCCGCCGCGAGGCCACGGCCAACTCCATTGCCTTTTTTTCCCCGAGCTGCATGCGGAGTTATCGCGCTCTTGGGGGACTCCTCTGTCCACTCGAGAGCGCGATCTCTCCCCCGCCTTTCCCCCCTCGATGGGGGGGCCGCCCGTGGGTGCACTGGGATGCCCCCGCTGGAGCGTTCTGTTGCGGTACAGCTGTGTCCACAGAGCGCCTCCTCCGTGGTCCTCCTAGGCACCCATCCAAAGCCTGTAGGTTCTCGTCTGCCATGGCGGCGCGTTCCTATAGAGCGGCGGGACGGGCGGCCTCCGCTTTGCATGCGATGAGCACTGTGCAAGCGCAGATGCTCAGAGATATGCTCGAGGGCGGGACTGATCCAACGGCATTCGAAGATTTGCGGTCCGCCACTGACCTTGCTCTCCAAAAGGGCAACGAAAGTGGCCGCTCGCGCCGTTGGTCAGGTGATGGCCACTAGTGTGGTCCAGGAGCGTCAACCTGGCAGACACTCGGAGCGCTGAGCGGATTCGTCTGCTCGACGCCCTTCTCTCCCAGGTTGGCCTTTTTTGGCGGTGCAGTCGAGAACTCTTGCCCAGCAGTCTCCACTGCCCAGGAGCAGACGGAGGCAATCAAACATGTTCTGCCCCGACGACCAGCTGCTGCCTCCACCCAGTCGTCGGCACAGATGCCTCCCGCTGCTCGCCGCCGAGGACGCCCCCCCGCGGCTCCCCAGCCTCCCGCCCCGCCCCAGCAGCAGCCTTCATCCGGGCCACGGCGTGGAGGAGGCCGCCGGCAGGCGTCACAGCCCCCTCAGGCCGCACACCCCGCTAAACGCCAGGTAAGCGATGATCCTGATACGGGCTGCTCAGTGATGGAGTTGAGTTTTTCCCCAGGAGGCGGGAGCAGGCCCCCTCCTGCCCCCGGTGGAGGGCCGGGGGGAAAATCTTTCGTTTTCAGTTCCCGCTGCTCGCCCACGGGTGGGCAGCGCCCTGAGTTGGTTAAGAAAGACTTGACATCATCACTGAGCCCACAGACTGGAATGAGTGCGCTCGACGTTCCAGTGCGTCAGCCCACACATTCCTCTCTGTCTCTGAGGGTGCGGAAGGGTGCAAGTGTCGTCCCCGGGCTACGCCAATCCCTTCCCCCTCTGTCGCCAGACCCCCGGCGGAACGGACCCCCGTGGAACGCTCCGCTTTCCCTGGTCCCTTCCGTCGGGGAGCGGGCTTCGACGCATCCGAGCGGGGTCATCCCTGCACGCGTGCCAGTCGACCCGCCACGCTGCCCCTCCGGGGGGACGTCTGTGGTTCACATGACCCCGTTGGCTCACTTCCTGGAAGCCTGGCTAGTGCTTCCCGGGATATCCCGCTGGGTCATCAGAACGATCAGATTCGGCTACGCGATTCAGTTCGCACGGTCTCCTCCCCGCTCCTGGGGAGTTCGCTCCACGATAGTTGGTGGCAATGCCCCACTCCTGAGAGCGGAGATTGCGACCCTGCTGGCGAAGGGTGCAATCGAGACGATCCCTCCAGCCGAGGTGGAGTCCGGGTTTACAGCCCCTACTTCATTGTCCCCAAGAAGACCGGTGGGTTACGACCGATCCTGGACCTGCGCATTTTGAACCGTTCTCTCCATCGACTACCGTTCAAGATGCTCACGGCCAAACGCATTTTCGAATGTGTTCGGTATCAGGATTGGTTTGCAGCGATCGACCTGAAGGACGCGTACTTCCATGTGTCCATCTTACCTCGACACAGACCGTTTCTTCGGTTTGCCTTCGAGGGCCAGGCATATCAGTACGCCGTTCTCCCATTCGGGTTAGCTCTGTAGACCTGATAGGCACAGATAGACCTGTTCACCTCTCGGGACTCGTCCCACTGCGCCCA